TTTTTACTTGTATCTTTGTGGCTCTTTGCCAACAAGCACCCTCCATTCAGTCAAATATTTCATGCATATGTACCAATAAAAATCCGGTACATAAGTTTGTTTGTGTGACAGGTGCTAGCTTATGGACTGAGGTTAAAACAAATTAATCTCATTTCGTCTCAGTTGATTCCGGTCGATCAAGCCCACAGCTTTGTTTCTTACTTCACACATATCTTTTAAAAGCGCTGAGGATTACCGTTTCTTTGTTGCAGATTTAATTTTTATTGTTCTGTTTTTACTTCAGGGCACAATGCGTAAATGGACAAGCTACTTTGATTACATAGTAATCGACGCGAAGAAACCATCTTTCTTTCAAGAAGGTACCATACTCAGGGTTGTAGAACAGGTGAGTGGCATGAGAATTTTAACAAAGTTTTGGTCAGAATTCCGAAAGTAGCTCTCAGTCTTGTTCTCGTAATAGGCTTCTCCCATTCTCTCGCTTTCATTGCAATTTTGACAACTTCACGGTGAGTATCACTGCGTACTGCGGTTTCTTTATTCAGCTTGAAGTTTCAAGTCGCGCCACCTTATTTCGTCCACTGCTTGTTGTAGATGAGCAGTTTTCAGACGTCTTCAGACAATATAGCTAGGCTACGAAAATTGCTTTTGTGATGAAAACTGACGTACTTTGGCATTTTATGAGATGCACATTATTGCAAGACAAATGGTTTAAAACTGCGTTTTCAATGTGTTTTACCCGGTGGTCTCGGTGTAAGGGCATAAATTTCAGTTTATCGGTTGAGTTTTCAAGATACAATCTGTCAGACGGAGGACAAAGTTGGCTTATTTCCAACACATTTTGCCCCGTCGGTCCCATCATTCGTCTGCATAAACGGATAATCACTTCTCACTGACATTCAATAGTTTCCCACGAGCTAGATAATCTGATTCATCATTTCTACGCACTCCTTTTATATAGGAATTATAAATATTGTAGTGGATGTTTTAAGCGAAACCAAATTCCTTCCAGCGATCGGAGGATATTCGTATCTTGAGTAATCCGGTAAATCATCCGGAAAAATTAACCAGATCACAGTTGATTGAATAGCCATGATTCTGGTAAAAAATATCCTTTTCGACTAGAACTCAAGATATTATTTGGAAGCCTTTTATATTTTATCTTTTCTTTCAATTGACCTTATCTAAACTTATAAAGTGCACTGAAATCAATCTTTGTTTCTATCAAAGCATTGATGGAGAGTTTGATTATCATCATTTCTGGACTGTTGCCCATAGCTTCCGAAGTCCTTTTCCCTTTCTCACTCCCGCTTTTTCCTATTTTGCGTCAGACCACGGGGCAGCGAAGCATTGGTCATCACATGGGAAAATTGGAAACGGGACAAATTTACTCTGGCGGTGAGTGAGTGAGACATCAAATCACTGCTGTAAATAGGAGATTTTGAAGAATCCTTGGTCTCTCTGACAGTCAGACATGAATTCATCACGGTGCACGCTTTAAACATGAACTGAAATATGAATTAATGAAGTTTCACTTGGCTTTCATGCCCAGTTGTTAGATCTTTACCTTACATTATACGTTGTGTTATGCAGAAAACTCAACAAACAACTGCAGGGTTAACTGTACCCGTGAAATGTCCTTACTTAAATCCTCCGTCTTATTGGTTTTCCTTGTGATTTCATAACCGTCGATCAATAGGCCGAGCAACATAGTACCCAAAATGGTACAGCATTATGTTTCATAGTGTCTCACGGTTAGATGGGACAGCCCGGTGGCAGGATAAATATATCGGATCTGACTGGTGGATTTGTTCACAAGATATTTTTGTAGGCCAAAGGAGAAAGATACTTCATTGTGTCTCCTTTAAACGCTCATCAGCAATGGCGCAATGCACAGAAGCTGACCATGTATCTTAGAAGGCATGGTGACTAAGAATACTGTTAACTTTAGCCCGATACTTCGTGATGGTCGATGAAGTCCAAATATATCCTAATTCAAGTAATTAGCGGCCATCTGCCTGCCGGCCATTCTTCGATCAGGATCGAATAGAACTATACGCGTTCACATTTCGTGAAATTTATGGCTTCTCAAAATTACTGCTATCTGGGCAGCTCAGTTGATTGGAGCTTGGAAAAACGTAACCTACCAATGCTATTGGATAGCGAAATTCACTGTTTTGAAAAAACCTAAAATATATGTTGGAGGTTCAGTAGGCGCGCTGTAGTATTCCGTATACGCAACACAAAATGGAGGTTTAATAAGTAATTGTCGCTGAACTTTTTACTGGGTATACCTTGGTGTCAACTTCTAATTCTTCAACAGAACTGGAAAGCTGTGGATTATAAAAAGCCAAGTGCAGTTATATATTCAGATCAGGCACTACATTATCGTGCATATATCTTTTAGGAACCTCTAGGATATATAGAACAATCAACTGCAATGAAACAAGCTGAAGCATTTATGGGAAGCGGAACACCCACATATGTATATGTTGGTGACGTGCTTGAGCTAAATCCGGCGTTGGAGGGAAGCATTATTTGTGGTCGTGGCGTGATAGAATAGACACACATAGTTGCCAAGCCTAACCGTTTGTACTCAGTCCACAATGCTCAGGCTCACCTTATGATAACAATAATAGTTATTCACAGGGCGCCAACAGTGGTTAAATAGAATCTCGGAGTTGATAATGAAATCGTTCGAACGGGTTGTGTTTCGGATTCTCAGCCACACAGTAGTCTTCCTCTCTCTCAACAGTGTCAAGTTAGAAAAGGGAACCCCGCTGACCGATGAATTCACTATAGGATTTGTAAATACAACTAAAGGGGAGCAAAACGTGGAGGCAAATCTGAATGTGAGTTTGAATCATTACGCGCGGTAGTAGAGAGCGAAGAAAAATGAACTAAATAAACAAGAAATTAAATTAAATTGACGTGGAACATGCATCGCCGACATTCTTGTTTTGTGAACTACTCTTGTGGTGTACTATCCATAAACGAGCTTTTCCAGTGCGATTTTCCTGATAATGAGTGCTGCTTTCCTCTTATGTTCTTCTCTCCCCAGGCTCGTGCGAAGTTTTCTCCAATCTGATTGGTGCCCGGGGCAAGGATGTTCTATACGTTGGTGATCACATATTTGGCGATATATTAAAATCAAAAAAGACTGTGGGCTGGCGCACGTACCTTGTGATACCTGAATTGGCTAATGAAATTTACGTGTGGAAAAAGAAAAAAGCTTTGTTCGATCAGCTGCAAGACTTGGATAATAGTCTGGAGAATAGTTATCGGTACGTTGGTGCTTATTATTTTTCGATAGATTCATTTGCCTCTATCTGATTCTGGCCAAGTTCCAATTGAACCTTTCTATCTGCTCATTAATTGGTCCGCTACTTTGTGCTCGCTTATTTACACAGCTTTGAATGCGTAATTTTTAATAATTTTGATAACAAATACATGATGCTTAATATTAAGACTCATTTGGGGCATGCATCCAGGCTGGTTTTAGTTATGCAGCGCATTTTGTTCAACTCCCCGGCAACCTTTCTCGTTGTTCTGCACCGGTGTTGGCTGTCAGATTACACCCCGAAATAGGTTGAATGACTGTAAGACATTGCATGAAGAAGTTATTAACGGGACTGCTAAAAATGAGTAATTCTTTTCAGGCAGGGTAACGTCACTTCAGATTTATTACCAAGGTTGAGCATTCCTTATCTGGCTCGCTTTATTTCTTTGGATGGCATCATCTAGAAACCTAGTTGGTTCAGTTGATTGGTGAACTTTGCCCTCACAATTTTCCATCTGAATTCCTTTCCTCCGATTCCGCGTATCGTCCACTTCAGCAAACGACCTGTGCGAAGGAGATCAGTTTCGAGGCTCATATGGTAAATGACTCAACCAATACGATTGGTGCAACTCACGTAGTTAGTGCCCCCGTTTCTAACCATCCTCCCAATGATTAGGATACCGCTTCAGCTTCGTGTGATGGTAGATAGCGTTAGTCATCCTAATAGTGTCTGTAGTAGCATAGTAATGCATTCAGGCATCCTTTTGAACATTCGACCTCAGCAACGCGGAATGGGAGGGTCGTAAGAGTGCATCTTCTCTAACATGCTGGTCTACGAAGGAGATTCTGATGATGGCAATGTTTGCGATAATCGACAATCGAATGGGCTAATCCAAGCTTGCTGCTCTAAGATAATGATGAGTCTAGATTATTCCTTCAGGTTCAGATATTGGTATGCAATCTTTGTTTTGAAGCTGTGAACTGTACCGTCGGATCTTTCTGGCATGCAATCCACATCCTCTATGCTTTCGAGCACTGCTGGTGACCTTTAGTTCGTTAAGTCATTACTATTCCTTCATCCACCTGCTCTTTTAAGGAGTGTAAAAGTGGTGACAATAGGTTAAGTTACTAATAATAATGGGATCAACACGATTCGACTAAAATCTTCTAATTAGCGGTTTTGCCATTGTTAGAAAGTAAATCGTCGTCCTTTTTCGTTCAACTACATTTATGGTATACCATTAAAGTGGTATTCTTTTGAGAAATTGATATATTGTCTTCGTGGGACTAGAGATAAGTCTGTATTTGCTTTTCCTCTGGAATGCAATAACCATGCCAAATGCATTGTCCGTGTAAATCCGCTTGACATCAAAGAGGACCAGCAATCAACGGAACAGGAAAAACATCCAGTATGGCCTACCCTTTTACTCGCTTTTTGGCTTGCTTATACCTTCGCGCTTTTCATTGCTACTAGCTTGGCTGATCTGAATGAATTTCATTGTACTCTATCTTAACGCGAGTCGGCAGAGCAACGTCTTTATATTCGAATGAGGTTGTAGATTATTCAGAGTGGACGAAAAGTACTCTCGATGACTGATCGATTGCCGTAATATCAACTCATCACGGGTAATGGAGCGATCCAACGTACTTGCTTGCGGTTATGATGACTATGCCGATCGTGATTTCCATTTGTAATTTTTCGTTTCCGAACTGCCTATGCATGTATGCCTGGTTGTTACGTACCTAAGTGTCACGTTCCAAAAATCGATTGATCTTTCGTAGCGGTCTGTCGATGGAAACTGAATTTGTCTTGAATGAGAATCGAAGCGCTCTCTCGTAAGTCATTCTTTGAGCATTCTCTTTCTTCACTTCATTCGTCCATCCCACCAAAATGTATTCCGACACAAATATGTTCTCTCCTGTTCTCTGCCTTTTTGATGATTCGCTTT